AAGCATTTGCTTTCACTGATGGAAAACTGGCAGAATCCTGATGCCCTAACTGTCCTTTCTCCACCTAAGCAATAGCTACAGTTTTTAAGGGAATGAATAAATAGACAAATATTGTCTGTTTAGGGTTTGATATCAGCAAATAGAATGGAAAATCTGCATTTTTGTCTTTTGACTTATGTTTACCTTAATGTAAAATGATCTGATAGAATTACTGGGCTTCTGTCTATTGGGTTTGAGATTTTCCTTTACAATTAGAGTGTACAATTACTTTTTTTCTGGGATAGCAAAAACTTGTACAGGAAGTGCAAAGGATATTCATAGTTGTTTTAGTTAATGGGAATATTGGGGTATCACTAAAGAAAAGCGTTTAGTCACAGTTGATAGTGTCTCAGACTGAGGTGCTTAAAGTGTTAGATCATATTCCATTTTGAACCATTATGAAATCTACCATGATGTGCCATTTTGCTTCAGTAATTTTTTTGGACTTAAAGAATTTAAAAAAATTTTTAAATTGCAAGACTTTTTAGAGGATGATATTATCCATAGTACTTCTCAATCTATGGGCTTGAGTCATCACAAGGGACCACCACACATATATTCCAAGCATGGTATCCTGGCTGTACCAATGTCCTAGATACTTCTTTTTCAAACATTCTGTGATTCTTTAGAAAAATGCACTTATTTAAAAGCGTTATTGACTACATAGTAACTTTTTGTCCAATTGTTATTTAATCTGATGATAAAAAATGCAGTCATTCTTGTGTTCATATTTAACATTACACAGAGTTTAACCCACATGAAATGGTTAGGAACCAATAATCTAAGCCAGCCTACTACAGTAGGAAAGGAAAGATGTACCTACACATTTTAGTAAAGGGTCAAGGACTGCATAAACTGTTATTAGTCATCTTGTTTGAAATGAAATTATTGTCTCCCCCAAATGATCTGTTTTGAGTTATTTTTTTAAAATCAGGGACACCAGTGACATTCCTCTCTAAGTTTAGTTTACACTTTTCAATCTTTATCTTAATCCTTGGCAGTATTTCACATTGTGCGCTAAATGTCGTAACTTTTCCTGTTGCTTCTGAGGTACTAAATTTTCCTAATTTAAAAAAACAAACAAACAAACAAATACCAGCCTCACGGATTGTTACTCTCCTTATCACAACACAAGAAGTCATTTCACCTTTTCTGAAACTTCTCGCTACCTAGGCACACCGCTATGTGATTTTGTAACACCCTGGACTTTTCCCTTTTATAGCACTTACCACGTGGTACTAGAATTACTCATTCCTGTTTCCTGCTATACTTTTGGATCTGTGAAGGCTGAGACTGGCTCTGTCTTGTTCACCATTGTATTCCCAGAAGCTAATACAGGTGCATAGCAAGTGTTGAATGAATGAAGTTTCATTTTTTGACTAATAATTAAGGGTTCCTTTGACAACCCTAAGCTTATATTATATATATGTGCGTGTGTGTGTGTGTGTGTAAATCTCACAAGTGGTTTATTTTTTCAGATTTTCCAGCTCTTCATTTTTGTTCTACCAGTTAATGCTGGATTCCGTGTAAATCTTTTTTTCTTTTTCTTTTCTTTTTTTTTTTCGAGTTGGAGTTTTGCTTTGTCACCCAGGCTGGAGTGCAGTGGTGCAGTCTCCGCTCACTGCAACGTCCGCCTCCTAGGTCTAAGCGATTCTCCTGCCTCAGCCTCCCAAGTAGCTTGCCACCACACCTGGTGAATTTTTGTATTTTTAATAAGAGATGGATTTCACCATGTTGGCTAGACTGGTCTTGAACTCTTAACCTCAAGCAGTCCACCCACCTCTGCCTCCCAAAGTGCTGGGGTTACAGGCATGAGCCACCGTGCCTGGCCCCGTGTAAGTCTTAAACCTCATTTGGGCATACTTTTTGTAAATGAGTTGATTATGTATGACCTGCAACCATAATCCTGCAGAAGCAGTCGTTATGCAAGTATATTCTTCCTAGGCAAAGAGTTACTATGATTTAGTAGGTGGGGTTGGTTGTAGATTTTTAAAATTTCAAGACATGAGATGGGAAAGGACTTTTTTATTGTCTTAGGTTTTATTCCTTACTAGGTTTGAATCCTTATTATCTTAGGTATTATTATCCTAGGTTTGATTCATATGAAAGTAACAATTGGTTGGCCAGCTACAGTGGCTCACACCTTTAATCCCAGCACTTTGGGAAGCTGAGGCAGGTGGGTCACCTGAGGGCAGGAGTTCAAGACTGACCTGGCCAACATGGTGAAACTCCATCTCTACAAAAATACAAAAATTAGCCGGGCATGA